AAGCGTTAAAAAAAATTCTAGCTACAATTATTCAAACTAATAGCACAAGAAGATATGATTTTTTATATAATTCCCCAAATCACATAGTTTGGCAACATCAGTCCTCAGTCCAAGAGGGCAGCCCAATAATCCAATCCGTCAGCATGATGCTATCATGTCTGGAGTGTCTGGAGGAAAGTTACTTGACTTCTTCAGATATCAGTTTCCTAACTTAAAAATGGATAGTAACACCTTGTTTCTGTTTTTTTTTTTTTCCTAAGGTAGAGAGAGGATAGTGTAGTATTTGACCCTACAGGAACACAGTCATCAAATCTGACTTTTACTCCAATAGACTTTCATTTGCTGTTTAAGTGTTAAGAGTGTGAATGAATGAACAAACCTAACACAGAAGAAACAGTGGGAGGAAAAAAAATGAATGAAAACTTGGCTTTATAATGCAATACAAGTTGCCTGCAATTACTGTAAATGTCCACAAGATGTCATTACTTTCCACCAATTCAGAAAAACCATCCACTTTCAAGAATTTTAGATCTTTGAACCAAGGTATAACTTATGACTTACAATTGAAAGAGGTTCTGTCACTTTTAATGCCTTTTGACTGCTTCCCTGCTTTCTCTTAAATCTACCTCAAGAAATCTATAAAACCTAGACTTTAATGTTTGAGACTTAATATTCTAATGCTGGGAAACCTTAAGGGTCACCCATTCACAGGGCCCCATGTGACTCAGCAAACACAATGACAGCCCTGGAGCCCATGCTTTAAGCCCTTAACCTGCTCAGTTGCAAAGCTTCTCTCAGCCCTTTCTTGTAATTCTACCACCCTCCCTGCTTCAGGCTCTTGGGAAACAGTGATGCTGCAACATCCAAAAGGCAACACATTGCAATTGTAAATTGTGCTTTCCTCTTGAAATATTTCTCACACTTGCCCTCGCCAGGACTGATGTTCAAATGACTGCAGTGAGTTTGTGTGTTATGTATGCATTTATCCAGTTCAGAGCAATCCTATGCTTATTGGATTTTTCCCCCCAGTATAATTAGTATCTAGTTTGCAAGTTATTGTTACAAGTTTTTACACATTTTTAAAAAAAACACCAAAATTATGTTAACCAGGCTCAGTATTTTAACTTTAGCTATGTTTAGTATTGACATACCTTAAGTTTAATTTAAATACTTTATTCATACAAGATCTACCAATGCAAAATATGCTTGTGGGTTGGAGATTTTTAAAGGTCTCACATAACTTCGAGGTTTTATGTACTTTATTACTGTTCTCTACTGAGATTCTTTCTCCTAGTCTTTTTTATTGACATTAGGATAAATTATCTTCATTAATAGCAATTCAAGTCTGGTGAGCCAGAGAAGGCAGTGAACTCATTCTGTCATAAAAAGACATTTCTTCGTAGGTTTTCGGAAGATCATTCAACTTTATAGACTGAAAGAGCAGTTTTGCTTTAAAGGACCATATTTCCTATGCAAACACATCCCACTTACCAAGAGGCTAAATCAAGCTGCTTAGCAGGAGCCAGGTTAAATGGGGCCGTGGAGAAGCAGACCTTAGCCTCCTGTTCTGATGGATTGTGAGATATATCTAAATAATTTCTAATATGTTTATTACTGAAGTATAATTGATATGCAGTTATATTAGTTTCAGGTGTACAACATTGACAATTCCGTATGTTACTCAGTGCTCACCATAATAAGTAATCACCATCTGTCACCATATAACATTATTACAATATTATTGACTATATTCCCTATGCTTTTCATCTCTATGATTTATTTATAACTAGATGTTTATAGCTCTTAATCCCCTTCACCTATTTCACCTTCCCCCAATCCACCTTCCTTTTGGCCACCACTAGTTTGTTCTCTAGGAGTCTGTTTTCTTTGTTCATTTGTTTTGGTTTTTAGATTTCACACGTACGTGAAATCATATGATACTTGTCCTTCTGTCTCTGAATTATTTGACTTTGCAAATACCCTCTGGGTCTGTCTATGTTGTTGCAAATGACAAGATTTCAAATTTTATATGGCTGGGGGGCGCCTGGGTGGCTCAGTTGGTTAAGCGACCGCCTTCGGCTCAGGTCATGATCCTGGAGTCCCGGGATGGAGTCCCACATCGGGCTCCCTCCTCGGCAGGGAGTCTGCTTCTCCCTCTGACCCTCTTCCCTCTCGTGCTCTCTATCTCTCATTCTCTCTCTCTCTCTCAAATAAATAAAATCTTTAAAAAAAAAAAGTCAAATTTTATATGGCTGAATAAAATTCCACGGTGTGAGTGTGTATATGTGTGTGTATATATATCTTCATTATCCATTTATCTATCATTGGACACTTGGGTTGCTTCCATATCTTGGTTATTGTAAATAATGGTACAATAAACACAAGGGTTTTCTTTTCAAATTAGTGTTTTTGTTTTCTTTGGGTAAATATCCAGAAGTGGAATTACTTGATCATATGGTATTTCTATTTTTAAGTTTTTGAAAAACCTCCATGTTTTCCAGAGTGCATATACCAATTCACATTCCCACCAATAGTATATGAGGGCTTCCTTTTCCCCACATCCTCATCAACACCTGCTGTTTCTTGTTCTTTTGATTCGAGCCATTCTGACAGATGTGAGGTGATATCTCATTGTGATTTTGAGTTGCATTTCCCTGATGATAAGTGATGTTGAGCATCTTTTCATGTGTCTGTTGACCATCTGTATTTCTTCTTTGGAAAAGTGCCTTTAGATATTTTTTAATGCCCATTTTTAAATCAAATTATTTAGGGGCTTTTTTGGTATTGATTTGTATAAAGTCTTTATATATTTTGGATAGTAACCCCTATAAATACATTACTTACAAGTAACTCTCCCATTTAGTGGCTTGCCTTTTTGTTTTGTTGACGGTTTTCTTTGCTGTGTAAAACCTTTTTATTTCGGCGTAGTCCCAATACTTTCTTTTTGCTTTCATTTTGCTTTCTTGAAGAGACACATTCATAAATATGTGGTTAAAGCCAATGTCCAAAAGATCATCACGTATGTTTTTTTCTAAGAGGTGTATGGTTTCAGGTCTCACATTTACATCTTTAATCCATTTTTAGTTTATTTTAGTATATGGTGTGAGAAATGGTCCAGTTTTATCTTTTGCATGCAACTGTCCAGTTTTCCTAGCACCCTTTTTGAAAAGACAGTTTTTTGCCCATTGTATATTTGTGCCTCCTCTGTCAGAGGCTAATGGACCATATAAGTGTGGGTTCATTTTTGGGCTCTCTATCCTTTTCCATTGATTTATATGTCTATTTTTGTGCCAGTACCATCCTGTTTTGATTACTACAGCTTTGTAGTTTATCTTGATATCTGGGATTGTGATAACCCCAGCTTTATTCTGCTTTCCAAGATTGCTTTTGATGTTTGAACTCTTTTGTCATTCCATACAAATTTTAGTATTATTTGTTCTAGTTCTGTGAGAAATGCTGTTGGTATTTTGATGGGGATTGTGCTGAAACTGTAGATTGCTTTGGGTAGTATAGACATTCTGACAATATCCAATCCATAAGCATGGTATATCTTTGCATTTGTTTGTTATCTTCATCTCCTTGGTTAAATTTATTCCTAGTTATCATTTTGGGGCAACTTTAATGGGATTGTTATCTTACTGCTTTGTTAGTGTAATGAAATGCAACAGAGTTCTGTGTATTAATTTTGTATCTTGCCAATTTACTGAGTGCTTTTATCAATTCTAATGGTTTTTTTGGTGGCATCTTTAGGATTTTCTATAGATAGTACTGTCATCTGCAAATAGTAACAGTTTTGCTTCTTCCTTACAAATTTGGATGCCTTTTATTTGTTTTTCTTCTCTGATTGCTGTGGCTAGAACTTCCAGTACTGTGGTGAATAAAAATGGAGAGTGGATCTTTATTTTGTTCCTGATCTTAGAGGAAAGGCTTTCAGTTTTTCATCATTGAATATGATGTTAGTTGTGGGTTTTTCATATATGGCCTTTACTATGTTGAGGTATGTTCCTTCTAACCTCATGTTATTGAATGTTTTTAACATGAACAGATATCATATTTTGTCAAACGATTTTTCTGAATCTATAGAGATTATATAATTTTTATCCTTCCTCTTGATGTTATCTAATTGATTTGCAGATACTGAACCATCCTTGCATCTCTGGAATAAACCTCACTTGACAATGGTTAATGATTTTTTTAATGTTGAATTTCCTTTATTAATATTTTGTTGAGTATTTTTGCATCTGTGTTCATCAGGGATATTGGCCTGTAGTTTTATTTTTTTTGTAGTGTCTTTGTCTGATTTTGGTATTTAGGGAAATGCTGGCCTTGTGGAATGAATTTGGAAGTTTTTCTTCCTCTTATATTTTTTGAAATAGTTTTATAAGAATAGGTAATAATTCTTCTTTAAATATTTGGCAGAATTCACCTGTAAAGCTATCTGGTCCTCGGCTTTTGTTTTTCTGTCTAATCAAATTTTCTATTTCTTCCTGATTCAGTTTTGAAAGATTGTACATTTCTAGGAATTTATCTATTTCTTCTAAGTTCTCCAATTTGTTGGTATATAATTTTTCATCATATTTTATAACCCTTTGTACTTATGTGGTTGTACTTATGTACTTGGTGGTTATTTCTCCTCCTTCACTTCTCACTTCATTTGAGTCCTCTCTCTCTTTCTTGATGAGTCTGGCCAAAGGTTTATCAATTTTATTTTTTCAAAGAACCAGCTTTTGGTCTCATTGATCTTTTGTATTCTTTTATCTATTTGTTATTTCTTTTTATTTTAGAAAGCATGCATGAGTGGGGGAAGGGGAGAGGGGAGAGGGAGAAACCCAAGCAGACTCCACACTGAGCATGGAGCCTGACACAGGGCTCGATCTCAGGACCCTGATATCATGACCTGACCTGAAATTAAGAGTCAGATGCTTAGCTTGATGTCATTTCCTTCCGTAGGTCGCCATTGCTTCCGGGTCGCGGTCATTTTGAGCCCGCATTTGGGAAAAATGAATGGGAGGGCTGATTTTTGAGAGCCGAATGCAGAAGTTCCAAGACCAATTCCCCACATAGGGGCTGATTACATTCCAACAGAAGAAGAAAGAAGAGTCTTTGCAGAGTGCAATGATGAAAGCTTCTGGTTCAGATCTGTTCCTTTGGCTGCAACAAGTATGTTGATTACTCAAGGATTAATTAGTAAAGGAATCCTTTCAAGTCATCCCAAATATGGTTCCATCCCTAAACTTATATTTGCTTGTATCATGGGATACTTTGCTGGAAAGCTTTCTTACGTGAAAACTTGCCAAGAGAAGTTCAGAAATCTTGAGAATTCCCCTCTGGGAGAAGCTTTACGCTCAGGACAGGCACGGCTATCTTCATCATCTGGGCACTATTCTCAGAAGTCAAAATATGACTCAAATTTCGGTGGTCATTCATCTTTTGTGACGTCGCCAGCCGCAGACAACATAGGAAAAGAGATGCTTCCTCATTATGAGCCAATTCCATTCAGTGCTTCTATGACTGAATCTACTCCCACTGGTATTACTGATCATATCGCCCAAGGACCTGATCCCAACCCTGAAGAAAGTCCTAAGAGAAAAAATATTACATATGAGGAATTAAGGAATAAGAACAGAGAGTCATATGAAGTAACTTTAACACATAAGACTGACCCCTCATTCAGGCCTATGCAGGAAAGAATGCCAAAAAAAGAAGTCAAAGTAAACAAATATGGATATACTTGGGATGAGTGAAAAATTGCATCATTGGACCTACTGAAGGTGTTTCAATATCCAGCTTCATCTAGGTGGTCATGAATATCTGCATGCTTTGAGCTCAGCAGCAGTCTTCATAAACACATTTAAAACTAGAACCTGGGTTCTTGTGGTTTGGCTTATTAAAATGATGTTTAAAAACACAGATTTTAATGTGAATGTTGTGTGAATGTATTCACCTTGAGGAACTGTATGAATGATGATATTATACCATGATCACATATAGTTTGTGAAATCGTTTTAAGTTACAGGGTAAGGATACTCTCTTATGAAACTACAAAGAGATTGTCTACTCTAGGATCAGCATATATAAAAATAAGTGCATTTTGAATTGGGGTGGGTGGGGGGGAGCAAGCATAATTTTAAGTGTTAAGTTTACATCCAAAAATTATTAAAAAGCCTTTCTCCAGTGTTTGCTGTATTCACTTATTAATGTTTGTGATCAATAAAACATAAAGGAACATGCAAAAAAAAAAAAAATGCTTAACCTACTGAGCCACCCAGGCACCCCTTGTATTCTTTTAGTCTCTATTGTATTTATTTATGTTCTATTCTTTATTATTGCCTTCCTTCTACCAACCTTGGGCTTTGTTTGTTCTTCTTTTCTAGTTCCTTTAGGTGTAAGTTTAGATTATTTATTAGATTTTTTTCTTGTTTCTTGAGGTACATAGGCCTGTATCACTATAAACTTCTTTCTTAGAACTGCTTTTGCTGCATCCCAAAGATTTTGCAGCATTGTGTTTCCATTTTCAATTGTCTTCATGTGTTTATTTCTTCGATTTCTTCATTAAACCATTGGTTGTTTAGTAGCATATTATTTATCCTCTATGTGAGTGTGTTCTTTTCCAGTTTTTTTTTTTTTTTTTCTTATAATTGATTTCTGGTCTCATACTATTATGGTCAGAAAACATACTTGATATGATTTCAGTCTTCTTAAAGTTATTGAGACCCATTTTGTGACCTAACATCATCTATTCTGGAAAATATTCCATGTGCACTAGAAAAGAATGTGTATTCTGGTTTTGGGGGGATGGAATATTCTGTATATATTTGTTAGGTCCATCAGGTCTAATGTGTCATTCAAAGCCTGTTTTTTTATTGATTTTTCTGTCAAAATGATCTCTCCATTGATGTAGGTGTGGTGTGAAAGTCCTCTACTGTTACTGTATTACTGTCAATTTCTCCTTTTATATCTATTAATGTTTGCTTTATGTATTTAGATGCTCCGATATTGGGTGCATAGATATTTATAATTATTATATTCTCTTGTTGGATTGATCCCTTTATCATCAGGTAATGCCTTTCTTTGTCTCTTGATTCAGTCTTTGTTTTAAAGCACTTTTTTTTTTTCTGATAGAAGTATAACTACCCTAGCTTCCCCCACACACACACTTTTACTTATATGGAATGTCTTTTTTCCATCCCTTCAACTTCAGTCTGTATGTGCTTTAGGTTAAATTGAGTCTTTTGTAAAACTCACAGATGGGTCTTGTTTTTTCATCTCTTCAGTCACCCTATGTCTTTTGATTGGAGCATATAAGCTATTTACATTTAATGTAATCACTGATAAGTATATATTATTGCTTTTTTTATTTTTTTCTGGTTGTTTTTGTAGTTCTTCTTGGTTTTTTTTTTTCTTCTTGCTGTCTTCCCTTGTGGTTTAATGTATTTATTGCAATGCTTGCATTACTTTCTTTTTATTTTTGTATATCAATTACAGCTTTTAGTTTGTGGTTATCATTGGGTTCATATATAACATCTTATGTGTATAGCAGACTATATTAAGTTCACATACATCCTAAAAGCACTATATTTTTACCCCTTCCATGTTTTATGTATATAATGTCATATTTTACATTTTTTATTGTTCATATCCCTTGACTAATTTTTGTAAAAAAAAAAAAACGATTTTACTACTTTTGTGTTTTGACCTTCATAGTAGCTCTATAAGTGATTAAACTACCTTATCTATATGTTTGCTTTTACCAGTGAAATTTTTTCCTTTCATAATTTTATTCCAGCTATGGCCTTTTCTTTCCACTTAATGCCTTTTAACATTTTCTTGTATGCTGGTTTAATGGTGATGAACTCTGTTAACTTTTGTCTGGGAAACTCTTCATCTCTCCTTCGATTCTGAATAGTAATCTTGCTAGTTAGAGTATTCTTGGTTGTGGGTTTTTTTCCTTTCAGCAGTTTGAATATATCATGCCATTACCTTCTGATCCACAATATTTTTTGCTGAAAAATTACCTGGTAGCCTTATGGAATTTTCCTTCTATGTAACTGTTTTCTTTTCTCTTACAGCTTTTAAGATTCTATCTTTAATTTTTTTCATTATTATCATGTGATTTGGTGTGGATCTCCTTAAGTTTATATCTTTGCTTCCTAGACCTGGATGTATGTTTCTTCCACAGATTAGGGAAGATTTCAGCTGTTATTTCCTCTAATAATTTTCTGCACCCTTCTTCCTTTTTCTCCTTCCACTATCCCTATGATGTGAATGTTATGCTTGATGTCATAATGGTTCCTTAACCTATTCTCATTTTTTGTTATTTTTTCTTTCTGCTGTTCAGCTTGTTTTCTTTCCATTATCCTGTCTTCCAGACCACTGATCTGTTCTTTTGTACCCTCTAACCTACTGTTGATTCCCTTAATGTGTTTTACATTTTACTTATTGTATTCTTCAGGTCTGACTGTTTGGAATGGGGGGGGCGGGTTGTTTGGTTTTTTTAGAAAAAGAAAGCATGCGAGTGGGAGGAGGGGCAGTGGGAGAGGGAGAATCTTAAGCAGTCTCCACACCCAGTGTGGAGCCTGATGTGGGACTCAATCCCACGACCCTGAGATCATGACCTGAGCTGAAATCGGGAGTCAGACACTTAACTGACTGAGCCACCCAGGTGCCGCTGACTGGTTGGTTTTTTAATTTTTGAAACTTTTGTTGAAATTCTAAGTTTTTGATTCACTAACCTTTGGAGATGTATCTTGAAAGAAACTGCTGTGGCCGATGTCAAAGAGGTTACTGCCTATGTTCTCCTCTAGGATTTTGATGGATTCCTGTCTCACATTGAGGTCTTTCATCCATTTTGAGTTTATCTTTGTGTATGGTGTTAGAGAATGGTCGAGTTTCATTCTTTTGTATATAGCTGTCCAATTTTCCCAGCACCATTTATTGAAGAGACTTTTTTTCCATTGCATATTTTTTCCTGTTTTGTCAAAGATTATTTGACCATAGAGTTGAGGGTCCATATCTGGGCTCTCTGTTCTGTTCCATTGGTCTATATGTCTGTTTTTGTGCCAGTACCATGCTGTCTTGGTGATCACTGCTTTGTAATATAGCTTGAAATCGGGCAACGTGATGCCCCCAGCTTTGTTTTTCTTTTTCAACCTTTCCTTGGTGATTTGGGGTCTTTTCTGATTCCATACAAATTTTAAGATTGTTCCAGCACTTTGAAAAATGTCATTGGAACTTGGATCGGGATGGTGTTGAAGGTATAGATTGCTCTGGGTAGCGTAGACATTTTTAACAATGTTTATTCCGATCCATGAACATGGAATGTTTTTCCATCTTTTTGTGTCATCTTCAATTTCTTTCATAAGTGTTCTGTAGTTCCTAGAGTATAGATCCTTTACCTCTTTGGTTAGGTTTATTCCGAGGTATCTTATGGTTTTTGGTGCTATTGTAAATGGAATCATTTCTCTAATTTCTTTTAGAACTTTTGGGACTTCATCAAGATAAAAAGCTTCTGCACAGCAAAGGAAACAGTCAACAAAACAAAGAGGCAATCCACAGAATGGGAGAAGATATTTGCAAATGACACTACAGACAAAGCACTGATTTCCAAGATCTATAAAGAGCTTCTCAAGCTCAACACCCAAAAAAACAAAGTCAAAAAATGGGCAGAAGACATGAACAAAGAAGACATACAAATGGCTAACAGACACATGAAAAAATGTTCATCATCATTAGCCATCAGGGAAATTCAAATCAAAACCACATTGAGATACCACCTTACACCAGTTAGAATGGCAAAAACGGACAAGGCAAGAAACAACAAATGTTGGAGAGTGTGTGGAGAAAGGGGAACCCTCTTATGCTGTTGGTGGGAATGCAAGTTGGTACAGCCACTTTGGAAAACAGTGTGGAGGTGCCTCAAAAAATTAAAAATAGAGCTACCCTATGACCCAGCAATTGCACTCCTGGGTATTTACCCCAAAGACACAGATGTAGTGAAAAGAAGGGCCATATGCACCCCAATGTTCATAGCAGCAATGTCCACAATAGCCAAACTCTGGAAAGAGCCGAGATGCCCTTCAACAGATGAATGGATAAAGAAGATGTGGTCCATATACACAATGGAAGATTACTCAGCCATCAGAAAGGATGAATACCCAACTTTTACATCAACATGGATGGGACTGGAGGAGATGATGCTAAGTGAAATAAGTCGAGCAGAGAAAGTCAATTATCATATGGTTTCACTTATTTGTGGAACATAAGGAACAGCGTGGAGGACATTAGGAGAAGGAAGGGAAAAATGAAGGGGGGGTTCAGAGGGGGAGACAAACCATGAGAGACTGTGGACTCTGAGAAACAAATTGAGGGTTTTAGAGGGGAGGGGGTGGGGGGATGGGTTAGCCCGGTGATGGGTATTAAGGAGGGCACATACTGCATGGAGCACTGGGTGTTATATGAAAACAATGAATCGTGGATCACTACATCAAAAACTAATAATGTATTGTATGGTGACTAACATAACAAAATTAAATTAAAAAAAGAAATTCTAAGATTATCCACTCTTTTCTTTAGTCCGGTGAGTATCTTTATAACAGTTACTTTGAAGTGTTTATCATATTTTTTTGTCTTCATTTTGTTTAGCTCTTTCTCTGTGATTTTGCCTTGTTCCTTCATTTGAAACATATTTTCTGTCTCCTCGTTTTGTCTATTTCTCTCTGGTTTTCTCTGTGTATTAGGTAGGTTACCAGAGTCTCCTGGTCTTCAAAGTAGTGGTCTTTTGAAGAAGGAGTCCTGTGGTTTCTTACACTGCAATCCCCCCTGGTCACTAGGACCAGGCATCTAAGGATATTCTATATGTGGGTTCTGTGCCCACTACTGTGTGGCTGAGCCACAGTTGCGATGGACATACTGGTAGACGGGTGTGGCCTTCAGCCCAACTGGCTACTGTGACCCACTTCATCTTCTATGGGCACATTGGCATGATTTGCTCTTCATGATAATGTGAGGCCTGGCTGTGACCACCAGGGGCTCACTGATGGGTGGGCTGGCGTTCGGCCTACCTGTTTGCACTTAACCTCTGTGGC